TCTAGTGTCCTGAATAAGCCACTCATTTCATACGGTACTTTTACGTCCGTGACATGTGTTACTTTTGCACAAATGTAACGGCAATGCGTTTTCTCGCTAGGAAAACAAAGCATCTACCTCCGCACCGGCGTCCAAAAATATACCAGCTCTATGTTTAGGTGTTTTGAATTATTTCTGCCCTTTTCTGTTCTAATTAATTTTTTTCAAGGAGGAGACGGTAGCGAGGAGAACTATTGGTTTTTCACCTTTTTTTTGGCAGGCATGTGACTTTTTGCTGCTATTTCTGATATTGTACCCTCTCACCCCCACATCGTGTTTTTTTTTCTTCTTCAATCCACCTTTATCCGAGTATAGCTGCTATTTTGGGTGCTGAACTGCTCTGGTGTGTAGTTTTTCCTGCTGGCCATGTGACTGGCTTGTGCTATTTAAAGCATGATGCTGCTTTGGGGGAAGTGGGCGGAGGTGTTAGCATTCTGCAGTGCCACCGAGCCAAAAACGGTAACTGTTCATTCATGGAGGGAGGGAGAGAGAGAGAGTGATGCGACAGATTGCATACAGTAGCGGTCTGAATGTGGACGGCTGAATCTCCCTTCATCCCTCTTTTTAATTACACTACACTGGCCTCCGATGCTTTTTTGAGACCGTAAGCACTGTTTTCGTTCACGACTGTCCTCCGCTGCAAGCATAAAATCCCTGTTCCATAAGAACCGGTCAGCTGTTTCTTGGCTCTACAATGAGCTGGGTTGCTGGGGGATTCAGAGAGAGAGATTGAGGGTGAGCGGGCAGCATCTTGTTGGTATTCAAGTGCTGCGGCTGTTCCAGACGAGGTAGCTATTTTTACTCACTCGGCTGCTTTTTTTAGCGCTGGAATATTGAGTCGGAGGAGGGCCAGTGCGCATGTGCGGCTCCGTATTTCTGAACGTACTGTTCGTGAACGTACCGGAGCACGACTGCTCGTGCCATCTCGCTTGCAAAGGGGTGCTGTTCTGGGTCTATTTTTATACATTTGTTTTGTGCTTTTAATAATGTTCATGCTAACAAAAGACTCATGCTCACAGAAGTATCAAGCATCGGTGGCTTCCATAGTGTGGCCACCTGCATGCATCTTCATGGTTTGTCACAGATTTAGGTGTTTCTGTGGGATAGTTTTGGGTTTTGACAGGTGGCTGTTTATTTATGATCCGTGTCATGCATTAAAATCGTCTCCCAGAATGCTCCCCAGGTATCTAAGTAATCTAGATGTTGATTAGTCTTGGCTTATGTGTCAAATGTTGATGGTTTATGACTATAGCGATGGATTGATGGCCCACAATGTGGCAGAACATGTTCTTGTCCTTGCAGGGAATTCTGGGAATTGTCCCCAAGCCCTTCTCACTCCATGTTTGAAGTGGTCTGGTGTATGTGCACACTCTCACAATTGACTTTAAGCTTGGAATTCCTCAAGTTTAGGGAAAATGTGAAACATGTGCCACATCCTTTGTGAAAGGGGAATGTTTCGAAGAATGCCTCCAAGAGCATTTTACTGTTTGTTCTGACTTTTTGAAGGATTTGTGACTAAATTTGGATGTTTTTTTTTTTTATCAAACAAAGGAAGTATGTACAGTATTTTAGATGTTCATTATGAGTTTTGTTCTTCAGCCATATCCTCACGATCTCTTTGCGGTTATTCAGTGATGGTTCACCCAAAAATGAATAATGTCATTTACTCACTCTTGTGTTGTTCAAAACCTGAATTACTTTCTTCTACAAATCACAAAATATGGTATTTTGAAGAATGTTGACAGTCAGACAGTTTTGGTGATCGTTGACTTCAATTGATTGGACACAGACATTCCTCAAACTATATTTATTCTACAGAAGAAAGAAAGACATATAAGGGCGAGTAAATGACAGAATTTTCATTTTGACATGACCCATCTCTTTAATGTAGTTTGTTCCATTAAGACAAACTAGGATGTGCTTCGTTCTTAGGATGAATTTGAAAAGGAGCTTGTGAATCACTTTGTCCTTTTGTTCCTTCTGTCTTTAGTTCCAGTGCTCTCACTCCTGTTGTCGTGCTCTCTCACTTTCTACCCACATCTGACTTTGCGCAGTCTCCCATTACCCCCTCCACCCCCCCTTCTCCCTCTGGTTTCTATTTTTAGCAGCCCCCAGGATCCCTCCTCACCCCTCCTGTGCTGTCGTGCTCTACAGACGTCATAACCCCCCCCACTCTCCCCCACAGCCCTGTTCTTGCGAATGACCACTGCCCATGCCACTCTTTGATCAGCCATCACACACTGTGTCTAATGCTCGCTTTTTGTATTTCTACATTTTGCAAAACAAGAGCATCATGGGACATTGAGATGGGCCTCTGAGTACTGTAATTTTTTTTTTTTTTTTTGTAGTTTATTAGTAATATTTTATAGTATGTGTCTGGACAGACTACAAGCTGTTTTTAGGTCAGAGTGAAGTGCTATAGAAGTAAAAAAAAGACTTGTTAATGGCAAATTCATTCTAAGTCAGATTTCTAGGTGGATTTATGGTCACTAAAAACACATTTTGGCTCTCAACGAATGGTTGTAAATGTGAAGGGTGTCATTTTCTGTGCCGCTAGAGTCACTAAATGGAATGCAAAATATGACTGTTTTCGAACCTGTCTCCCATCTGATAGCCACACCCCCGACTCACATGATTGGTTGAGCCAGTGTTGCTGGTCAGAATTTTAAAATTACAAAAAATGTTCTTAAAATGCCTTAGAGTCACAGTATTTATACTTCTTGAGGAAATCAAGCTAGAAATTGCTTTCATATATGGTTTTATTTATTTTTTTAATGTGTTTAGCTGAGATATACAAGCCAGTGTTGCCATGTTGAGCTTTCTCGTGATTCTCAAACAACAAATGCTTTGAAAATGCCACAAGAAGTAAGTGTTTACACTTTTTGAGGACATTAACATAGAAATGGTTTGTTTAGCCTATTGTTGCCTTCACATGTTAGGCTAAGAGTATTTTAACATAAAAAATTATGCACTGTAGTTTTAAGAAATAACCGTTGCGTTGTGTGAAATGAGACTGAAGTAAATGATTAATACTTCTATCATCTGCCATTGGTTGAACTGATAGCTCTGCCTTAGGCCCATTACTTGAGCCAGGGTTACCATGTTGAGCTGGGGTGCATTTCCCAAAAGCATCATTAGCTAACTATGGTGGTAACTAATTTCCACTGAACTCTATTGATAACGGCAGAACTTGCGACCATAGTTGCTTTTGGGAAACGCACCCCTGGTTGGGATTCTCAATGTCAGTACCTACGCTTTTCAGGGAAATCAACCTACAAATTGCTACTTTAAACAGTTTATGTTTTAAGCTGAAATAAAGTAGTGCTTTAACATTATTTAAAGTGACACCCTTTAATTTTATCTTCCTTTTATTTTATTTTTTTGTAGTTTATTAGTAATATTTTATAGTATGTGTCTGGACAGACTACAAGCTGTTTTTAGGTCAGAGTGAAGTGCTATAGAAGTAAAAAAAAAGACTTGTTAATGGCAAATTCATTCTAAGTCAGATTTCTAGGTGGATTTATGGTCACTAAAAACACATTTTGGCTCTCAACGAATGGTTGTAAATGTGAAGGGTGTCATTTTCTGTGCCACTAGAGTCACTAAATGGAATGTAAAATATGACTGTTTTCGAACCTGTCTCCCATCTGATAGCCACACCCCCGACTCACATGATTGGTTGAGCCAGTGTTGCTGGTCAGAATTTAAAAATTACAAAAAATGTTCTTAAAATGCCTTAGAGTCACAGTATTTATATTTCTTGAGGAAATCAAGCTAGAAATTGCTTTCATATATGGTTTTATTTATTTTTTTAATGTGTTTAGCTGAGATATACAAGCCAGTGTTGCCATGTTGAGCTTTCTCGTGATTCTCAAACAACAAATGCTTTGAAAATGCCACAAGAAGTAAGTGTTTACACTTTTTGAGGACATTAACATAGAAATGGTTTGTTTAGCCTATTGTTGCCTTCACATCCCCCCTCCACCCCCCTTCTCCCTCTGGTTTCTATTTTTAGCAGCCCCCAGGATCCCTCCTCACCCCTCCTGTGCTGTCGTGCTCTACAGACGTCATAACCCCCCCCACTCTCCCCCACAGCCCTGTTCTTGCGAATGACCACTGCCCATGCCACTCTTTGATCAGCCATCACACACTGTGTCTAATGCTCGCTTTTTGTATTTCTACATTTTGCAAAACAAGAGCATCATGGGACATTGAGATGGGCCTCTGAGTACTGTAATTTTATTTTATTTTTTTGTAGTTTATTAGTAATATTCTTGATATCAACAATTCAATTTTTACTAGTTAAAATGTTCATTCTTGATATCAAGAATTAGATTTCTACTAGTTGAAATTCCAATTTTACATATCAGAAATACAATTCTTACTAGTAAAAACCTTTATTTTTGATATCAGTAATCACATGGTTACTAGTACGGATGTCTATTATTGATATCAACAATTTAATTGTCACTAGTGACAATCAAATTGTTGATATTAAGAAGAAACATCCGTACTAGTAACCATAATTTTCACTAGTGACAATCAAATTGTTGATATCAAGAAGAAACGTCCGTACTAGTAACCATGTGATTACTGATATCAAAAATAAAGGTTTTTACTAGTAAGAATTGTATTTCTGATATGTGAAATTGGAATTTCAACTAGTAAGAAATCAGTTCTTGATATCAACAATTGATTTTGAATGGCAGCCTATGGTGACATTTAACTAGTGAAAATACAATTACAGATATCAAGAATTATAGTTTTTACTAGTTGAAAAGTAATTGTTGATATCAAGAATTAACATTGTTACTAGTGGAAATGTAGTTGCTGATATCAAAAATAGCCATTGTTACTAGTAGAAATCTAATTCCTGATATCAAGAATGAACATTTTAACTAGTAAAAATTGAATTGTTGATATCAAGAATTCATATCCTGAGAATGAATAAAAGTCAAAAGGGCTTGCCATACTGGTTTTCTATTTTTGTCTCCTAGTGAACAATGTGGGAATCTCATATCCATACCCTGAATTCTTCCTCCACATCCCTGATTTGGAAAACGTGAGTAATTTATTTGTCTGAGGCGGAAGGTTTAATTATTAGAAGCCATTGTCGTTAAGAAATATTCACCTGTTAATTTCCGTTCGCAGTTCATCACCAACATGATCAATGTCAACATCACCTCAGTGTGCCAAGTAGGTAGACACAAACAACAAATTGGGCTGCTGAAGGGTTTCGGAATTCGTAATTTTGAAAATTCAAAATTAAAATTTGAGAAGTACTGCAACGTGACCGCTCTGTTGTACTCCTCCTACTGTTGTACCTGTTCTCTCTCCCTGTGTTTTGCTGATCTCCACCAACGCTCCCCGTGTTCACCACCCACGCATTCTTTCTCTCTCACTCCCTTTCTCTCTAATGCAGGAGTGATATATTAGTGTTTCAGATTTTTTTATGTTGTCTCAAGTCATTTTGGAGCATGTGAGAACTCGTTTTTTTTTTTTTGTCCTGTTTTCTCTCTCCAGATGACTCGTCTGGTGCTGCCCAGAATGGAGGCAAGGTGAGTCCTGGTGTACAATATAAAAACATCCTTCCAGCATCTTACTGGAATTCCTAACACAGCCGCTGTCACTAAAAAGGAATTCAGTGCAGCTTTTAAAAACAGGGTTTTCCCCTCCCCTCCTGTTCCCCTCCCACTCTTTATGTGAAATTGAAAAGCAACAATGCACTGATCCCATTGGCTGCTGCTGAGTCACGTGCAACTCTGGGGCCTATAATGGAGCTGGGCAAATTTTGTACAAATAGGTCCAACCCTCTGCACTCCCCAGCACTCTACTGCGGCTGCAGGGGTACTGCATGAGAAAGCTGGTGCCATGGCAACACACATGGCGACCATCATTAGACGTGAGTTTTGAAGTACAGTGGGTGACGGCGGCTTTCAGGTTTCCACAGCTGGAAATATACCCTATTTGATGTCAATGTCAAATGTGATTAGTTGAAATAAAGTTAGCTTTTTTTTCATTTCAGAGCTAAGGGTGTTATCCTCAATATCTCTTCTGCCAGTGGCATGTTCCCCGTCCCACTCTTGACCATCTACTCCTCCACCAAGGCGAGTGTCTTCACAATATACTTCCCAGAGATATCAGTGGTCATAATTGTTTCAGAAAAAAACATTTCAAGTTGTTAGTACTGAACAATCTAAAGTTAAGTTATTAAATGTATTTATTTATTATTTGTATCAGTTTATATTGGATATTTAATAGTGCTCCATTTCATTTTCTGTCTTTTAATGCTCACTTAAACAGAATTTTAAAAAACACTAATTAAATAATGCTATACTGTACTGTATAATGTTATGATGCCTTAATTTACATGTTGCATTTAGAAATTATTGGTTTTATTTTTAGTCTTTATTTTTTGAGGTTGATTTTTACTTGTCATCTTTCTATAGGCTTTTGTGGACTTCTTCTCACTTGGACTTCAAGCAGAGTACAAGTGCAAAGGGATCATCATCCAGGTGAGAGAACCAGCATTAAATTAAATGATTGTGTTTTGTTTTTTAAATACATAAGTTTCAGGTCAGTCATTTTTATTTTTTTATATATTTTTTATTTAGCGAGGATCCGTTAAATAAACAATGAGAGTAAAGAAATAAAACCGTAAAAGGTGTCAATTAAAATTTTTTTTTTTGAACTTTCTATTTATCAAAGAACCCTAAATAAAATGTATGACTGTTTCCATCAAAAATATAAAGTAGCACAACTGTTTTCAACATTAATAACAATAAATGTTTCTTGAACACCAAATCAGCATTTATAGAAGGACTTCTGAAGGATCGTGTGACACTAAAAACTGGAGTTTATTCTGGAATAAATTACTTTTAAAAATATATTAAATTACAAAAGTCATTTTACTATTTCCATGTACCATTACCAAATATGACAATTTTTACCGAATTTTCTATTAAATGCATTCTTAGTGAGCATAAAAGGCTCAAACTTTTTAATAGTAGTGTAAATGCATCATCAGTTACCAAGAGACTGTTGAGGGCAGTAAATAAATACACCAAGAACTGTACTGATTAGTTAATGAAGTTTATTTTTTTTATTTTTTTGTCTTGTCGACTCTTAAGGTTTTTGTTTATATCTATCAGATATGAATAGTAAAGATTTTGCCAGATCCAGCCAGCCGAAATGCTCTTTTAGTCAGAAGTCAGAACATTTTCGTGAATAACATCAAATCTTTCTGTCACCAGAGTGTGCTGCCTTTCTTTGTAGCTACCAAGATGACGAGGATCAGGAAGCCTACCCTGGACAAGCCCACCCCTGAACGCTACGTAGCTGCTGAACTGACTACTGTGGGACTGCAAGACCAGACCAACGGCTATTTCCCTCACGCCGTCATGGTGCGACAGCCTAAAAACTTTTTAATAGTAGTGTAAATGCATCATCAGTTACCAAGAGACTGTTGAGGGCAGTAAATAAATACACCAAGAACTGTACTGATTAGTTAATGAAGTTTATTTTTTTAAATTTTTTTTTTTTGTCTTGTCGACTCTTAAGGTTTTTGTTTATATCTATCAGATATGAATAGTAAAGATTTTGCCAGATCCAGCCAGCCGAAATGCTCTTTTAGTCAGAAGTCGGAACATTTTCGTGAATAACATCAAATCTTTCTGTCACCAGAGTGTGCTGCCTTTCTTTGTAGCTACCAAGATGACGAGGATCAGGAAGCCTACCCTGGACAAGCCCACCCCTGAACGCTACGTAGCTGCTGAACTGACTACTGTGGGACTGCAAGACCAGACCAACGGCTATTTCCCTCACGCCGTCATGGTGCGACAGCCTAAACATCTCATCCAGCAGTGCTTTATACATTAATTGACCATGTTTTCTCCCTAACCTTCTTATCTTTGTGTCCCACAGGGCTGGGTGACCACCGTCGTGGCTCCCATCAAGCTGGTCCTCTACCTGGGCCTGCGCATGAACAAGGCCCAGCGTGGCGGATACCTCAGGAGGAGAAAGCTGCGATAGGTTGAGGACATTGTGTGATGGAAACCAAACTGGATGAGATGTTTTACAAAACACACGTACTGAGATTTGAGATTCACTTGGAGTCGTTTTGAATCTCACATCTTTGAAGTGCTTCCTCTTACGTAATGTATTTTTTTTTGTGTGTGTGTGTGTTAAATGTGTGTGTTTGTTCTCTTTGGATAAATATCTGGACATGCTCACGTTCCACAATGACTCATTATTATTGCCTTCTTGCTGGTTGCCAGAAATGGAGACCAATCTTCTTTATATGGTGAGAGAAGCGTGTCGGGAGGGTTTTGTGTCCACTGCTGTTGTAAGCAGAGGGTTATTTATATGGTGATGGTGTTTTATATTTATTTAATTACTAATTATGCATTTTCTTTTTATCTGGGACTATCTGTTTGCACTCTTGTTAACTGCCAATAACTAGTTTGCATTCATGCCTTAGACCTTCTGATGAGTGATAAATGGGTGCTGGCCTTTCTTATCATTAATTTAACATATTAAGCAAATCTAAAGTGGCTATTTTGGGATCTTGTACTGTATCAATATAAAACCAAAGGTCTGATTTAAGTGTATTTTTGTTCATTGGCCTTTTTCTGGCTTTTCAGAGTCTACCTGCCAGATTTGGTTTATTTAAAGCCTGTGCCTTTTTATAGAATATAAAACTTGGTCACGTTTATTGAAAGGAGATCTAATACATGTTTACATGATGTTCTCCATGCACTGAAGACTTAAAGGTGTGGTGGAATGTCACCCGAGTGTCTTGAGTTTCATCCCAAGCTGGATTTGAGGAATACCTCCATAGCTTAGATCTCTGTATGATTATTTACGGACCAGTGAAAAGTCCAGGTGGTTAAACCTCATTAGTCGTCCCCTGGTTTAAAACTTGAATGTTCTTATTCCAGACATGTTGAAGAGTGGAACACAACGTGCTGCTTTACTGATGCATGACAATCTGAAATCTTGTTTGTTAATAAAAATGATTTCTGTATTGATTTTGTATTTGTCTTTTTTAATAAATTTTATGATGCTGCATATGGTTTTGTCTTTTGTTGGATTTAGATTTCAAATGTTACAAAGAGACTTCTAAAGCCACTGGCCTTAATTCGTTACTGATCTATTTATTAAATCATGATGGTTTAAAAGAAGTTGAAGGGTTCTGATACTTTTTTTTTGTACTCAAGGAAGGCAGAAATATATAGATGCATGCTACGTTATTCTTGAAACATTACAGGTTTTCACAAATCTTTTACCGAACAGAACACAAAAACCTACAGAATTAAATTTACTACAAGGAAATTAATTTCTCTTGAAACAAATTTATGAATGCAATCAACATTTTCATGAGTAACTGTAATTTAATTGCACTTTTTTTTTCTCAGTAACTCTAAGGTATTGCCGTTACATTTATTTTGTAATTAAATTATGTAACGATTGCTGCAATCTATATTTATACAATCATACAATAAAGCCCCTAAGTTTAAAGCTTTGCCAAGCGTTATGAAGTCAACTTATACTTTTTAAAACTACTTTTTAAAAACTAATCTACCTTTTCGGTCTACAATAAAAATGATCTGTTCTTGTAAAAATAGCAAAGGCCTGACATAATCATCCTTGTACACACACCTGAATACAGGAGTTGATTTTGTATTATAAGGTATTAAATATTAAATAGATATTAAAATACCTTGCCTAGTGCCTTAATTTAAATTCATAGTAATTAGGTTGCTAGATTATAAGAATTCTAAAGATTAAAACATTCTAAATAGTTTATAAATAATTGCAGTTGTACTATTGGAAAACTATTAGTAGTAGTCTTATATCTAGTACATCTTAAACAAATACACAATATTATATTTGTATTGTACACATATTTGATGTATATTATATACATGTACATATTCATATATCAGTGTACTTACAGAAGAAGATCGTCTCCGTAGGAAGTATTTTCGCCGGTCATTGTAGTAACACGGACACGTTTCGCCGAACAACTGATTGTGTTTCTGTTACACAAATGTTCAACGCTTTGCTCAATGAGATAAATCGCCTCGAAACTAATGTGTGTAAGTATTGTTTAAGCTGCAAATTTTTTGTGACAACGCTGTCAGGTTATTAAAACTTGACTGAAAACGTAAAAACTGAGTCTCAGTCTGGGAAGTGTGCAAATTGTATACTAGATGTCATAAGTCTATTTACATCAAATATAATTATGCATTTTATAATATGGTTCTCTGTGCTCATATACACTTTTGGAAATATTGGTTTTAGAAACTGACCCATAACGTTAGTCATATTCCATGAAATATGAGTGCTATCCTTTACTGCGTGATATACTAAAAATTACCTGAAGATGGCAGCAAATTCTTTCTGTAGTCATTTGTAAAACATAAAAAAAATAAAAAATGTTTTGTCCTAAGGTGTTAAAGGCCACTGACATAATATGTTTTGTCTTGTCAGATAGGTTTTGAGCTTTGATGAGTGATAAAAGGCAGCGAGCGAGAGTCCAGGGCTCCTGGGCCAAACCTCTTCACAAGCCACAACAGCCAACCGGTATGCCAACTGTACAAGAATTTTACTATTAAAACACTTCTACTGCAAACGTTAAAGATGTCACAAAACAAATAAATAATTAAATCATAATAATAATACTTTTGTTGTCATATGTTTACATATTAACATCTGTTTATACTAGATGTCATAAGTCTATTTACATCAAATATAATTATGCATTTTATAATATGGTTCTCTGTGCTCATATACACTTTTGGAAATATTGGTTTTAGAAACTGACCCATAACGTTAGTCATATTCCATGAAATATGAGTGCTATCCTTTACTGCGTGATATACTAAAAATTACCTGAAGATGGCAGCAAATTCCTTCTGTAGTCATTTGTAAAACATAAAAAAATAAAAAATGTTTTGTCCTAAGGTGTTAAAGGCCACTGACATAATATGTTTTGTCTTGTCAGATAGGTTTTGAGCTTTGATGAGTGATAAAAGGCAACCTCTTCACAAGCCACAACAGCCAACCGGTATGCCAACTGTACAAGAATTTTACTATTAAAACACTTCTACTGCAAACGTTAAAGATGTCACAAAACAAATAAATAATTAAATCATAATAATAATACTTTTGTTGTCATATGTTTACATATTAACATCTGTTTAAGATTCCACAACTTAGTCCTGACCTGAATAACATTGTTTTTACAGTCATAGAAAATAATGTGCAAAAGTCATGAAAATCACTTCAATTCTGGAAAACAAAAAGTCATGGAATGACTAAATAAATGGTTTTATTTTTATGATTTTTACTGTAAATATTTAAATAATTTTAATAGTAGAAGTAATGAACGACTTAAAAGTTATAGAAACTATCAAATAAATGCTTTCCCATTTAAAGGACGTTATTACTATTATTTTTCAGAATTGTTATTTTAAATTATTCAATGATTTTCAAACATCTTTGTGCAGTAACGAGATAGTTGAAAAGTCATGTAAATTCATAAAATCTTAAAAAGGATTGGAAACTTCATTAAATAATTTATTTTCTATTTAAATTAAACGATTGTTTAAATTATTTTAGAAAAAAAAAGATTGCACAGTCATGAAAGTCATAGAAATTCGTTGTTCAAAAGAACCCTGGAATAACTATGCCAATACCCAGTATAATCATCATAAAGAGGTAACTGACATATAGATATCTCAAAGGTACAATTAGCAAAAACAGTGTGTTTAATTCACTTATTAAATAATAAGTCTCAGAGACAGTTTCAAAGGTCATATAAAACTAAATTACATGCCTTTTTATTATTATATTATTCTTATAAATAGACTTCAGGGGAAAACAAGCAATATAGGTGTAGTACAGTGTACCAGTGTGTTGTTTTCTGCTTCTCTTAATTTTGTTACAGTGATTAGTGTGAATTCCTAGTGGCTCATTAAATTAAGAGTATTTGCATTTAATGTTTCAGCTCAAGATGTCCAGTCAGTGTCAGGTTCATGGAAATATGGACCACGATCATTTGAGTTCCATCAGCCAGCTGATGTAAGCACCATTTTGTTGCTATTATATGCTGGGGTTTTTTTGTGTTTTTTTTGGTCTTCGATTTATCCTATTTTTTTTTTTTTTAGCCCATCAGAGAGATTCCTGCGGAGAAAGTGATCGAGTGAGTGACTCAGTCCGGGGCACTTTCAAGCAATAAAACCTGTTGATTGACACACCGTGTATATCCAGTGTGTTGTTTTCTTCTCTTTCTCAGAAATGCCGCTGACTTTCAGATTAGTCAAGGGCCTACTGGAGTGTCCAGGTAAGAACACCCCGATTGAAAGTGGCCTAAAATAAAAAATTTCCTGCATTAAAGTAATTGTTTACTGTTTTTTCATCCAGACTGAGACTCATACCGGGATTTCTACAGCAGGAGGAGGCTGACTGGGTGTTTAGCAAGCTGCTCGCTGAACTGCCATGGTCACAAAAGACTAATTATAGGATGATGGGTAGGTTGCATGTTGAGTTACTGTAAATTGAGGGGACGAAGTAGTGTTTTAACCTCTTAGTGGACTGGAGATTATGTCTGAGATTAACCCTTAGCCTGACATAGAAAATAATAATCATACAAATGATATATATATATATATATATATATATATATCATATAATTTTTTAGTGTGTTTTATGTTTTGTATCATATTTGATATATTAGTCTTATAATACACAATTCAGTGCAGTTGCTGATATTTATATATTTATATGACCAAAAACATCTGATTAAATTTTGATGGCTTGTTATGTAAATCAATGGGATCTTTATAACACTATAACAGACTACTTACATAAAATATCATATAAATATCAGTTGTCACTCAGTATCTTCCACTAATATGTCTTAGTAAGATGATATTTAAATGCTCAGTTCTATGATCAAAGCTCTATAGTTTTCAATATGGGGGCACAATGCAATACAATTATGATTGAGAGCTGACGTTTCTCAAGTGCCTGATGTATCATATTTGATATAAACATTTTAACAAGAATTTTCTAAAAGATAATGTATGGATAATCAAGTAAAAGTTGCTTTAGACTAGTATGGGTTTGTCTTGAAATATTCCTAACAATATAAAAGTTATTCTTATGTTTACTTCATAAAAATTAGTAGAGATTTCACAGCAAAATGACATGTGAACCACAAACTGAAGGGAGGCATTATTACAATTACACTAAAAGGCCTTTTACTTGATGGAAAAGGTATAAACTATCAGTCAGATGAAGTAGATTGTGTTCTGCATGTTTTTTTTCAGTAATTTAATCATGTTCAAATATCAAATATGATACAGTAGGCTTTATAAGGTTAAAAAAGCATCATAACATGGGGTGTAGTGCTCAAGTAAAATTTACTAAATTGTTTGTTATTTTTTTTACTTATTTTTCAAATAACTTTACCACACAAAATTTTTTTGCAACAGTCCCGACACGAATGAAGTAAACTTATATAAGTGGAGAAAACAATGAAATTAAGTTGCTTATTTTAAAGACGTAAATTGAACAAGCAGCAAAAATATTATTTTCCAGTAGTATATGAGCATATGTTGAGCCTTGGTGCTAATGTGAGAAAACCGAAAATAAAAACGACTTTTTTTTCTCAAAATGTAATGACTTTAATCTCGAGATGGTTTTATTTTTTTTATTATTGCTTGGCCCTAATACTCTTCCATACGATATACACGACACGATTAACCGGTAGAAATTTGACAACCAGTAGAGATTTTGGACTATGTCATATTATGCACTCATCATGTCAATTTGCGATGCCAGTGGTCACGAAAATGTATCGTTTGCACACATTTTTAACCATTGCGGTTTAAAAACGAGTGATAGTAAGTGTATTTACTTGTCTCATTAGTGTTTAGTACAGTTGTCATTGCTAGGAAAGGCTTGTTTTGTTTACTGTGTGGAGACGTACTGATATCGCGTTTGGTCTCGTTCTGTATCGCGTATCTTGTCAGTGTCTGCGCTTGCTTGGCCATTTGTTGTGGAGAAAATAAGGAAAGTGTGTTCAGCTGAATTAATGTAGTATTTTGTTAGACGAGTATAAAAAAACTTAGTTTACTGCGTCAGCCATCGCGTGACGGCCTTTCTTGTGTGAAGACCGAAGAGTGTAAAGACCATCGACTCTACCATGTGACTCCACCGGGCAGGCACACCGGCAACGGATAAATATCGCTTTTTATTTCTTGTCTTTCCTATTACTTGTTTCGCTTCTGTTTCAGTTTTTATAACCA